AAAAAGGACCGGACACACTGCAGACCAACTGACTGGACCTGCATCGGCAGGACCTGACAGCTCTTGTGGACACACAGGTTCCTGGTTTGCACATCCCATTACGAGCGGAGCAGGTGGACGCAAACGCTTTGACCAGTTAGGAGGCCGGGGATGTGATTCGGGGAGGGGAACATCCTGACAGAGCATCCAGCAAGAACCTGCACTGTCATGAGCTGCCTCTCGGGTGTGAGCAGTGGAGTGGATTCTGGGCAGACGCTCAGGGTTCTTGTTGAAGGAGTGTGAGTGTCCTCATGGCTGTTCCCACTGGGCACGAACGGCAACACTTCGCTCGGACTGAGCCCAGTGGAAAGCCAGCCCTGCGCGCTGGACACTGACCCCACACCCGCAGCTGCAGCTGAGCTCCTGGGATCTTCTACTGCAGCTGCTTCTGCACACATTGTCATCTAGGGTGTTTAACAGGCCGGTGATCTTGAATGTCTCGTAATCATGAGATCATGTCATTCAAGGGAACACGTTCTATTCTTACACGATTATTCAGTCACACCTGGGAAGAGCTTCTCTGGAATCTCTTGACAAAACTAAATGACTTCATCAGCTTAACCGGACCGATGTATACATAAATATTATTTATGTAATAATATATTTATAAATAAATATTCTGTCCGTTTTCCACTCCTACAACACTCATCTAAGTGCACAGTGTAGTAAATCACAGTGAGATCAGGGTAAAAGCACAGAGCGGTAGTACAGTACCTTGTGTCAGGGAGTGCGGGGCTGCTGGGAAGGTGCAGACGTGCCCTGTGGAATGCAGTCCTGGAAAGAAACGTGAAACATGCTCACAGTTTCCACCTCCTGACGGGCCAGTCTGGCGTGTGACTGGTTACTAATATCCCCAAGAGGCTGAGAGAGAGGTAGAGAATGACTGTTAGCAGGTCCCCCATCTTCCTCTCTTCCCTCCTCCTGTCCTCCCCTCATCCCTCCCTCCTCCTCTGGAGTATCCTGGCCGCTGCTGACCGGACTCTCCTGTCCCCCTGTCCCGCTCTCTCACAGCCTCAGTGCGGACGGACAGACGGACAGACGGACGCCGCTCGAGCCCATGGAGTCCAAGCAGCTGCTGCGGAGGCTGTACGGCGTGGCGCGGATCTGCGTGACGCTGGCCTTCGCCCTGCTGGTGCTGGGCGGCCTGATCTACGCCTACGTGGCGGGGACCCGGCTGGCCAGCGCCCCCTACAGCGTGGTGTCCTTCGGGGTGTACGGGGTGCTCCTGGGGCTGCACATCCTGGTGCAGAGCACCTTCGCCTTCGCCGAGCACCGCAGGATGAGGCGCCGCAGCCTGGCCTGCAGCTACAGGAGGTCGGTGGCGCTGACCATCTCCGCCTACCAGGAGGACCCCACCTACCTGCGCGAGTGCCTGCTGTCCGTGCGCAGCCTGTGCTACCCCCAAAGCAAGCTGCGGGTCATCATGGTGGTGGACGGCAACTCGCCGGATGACCGCTACATGATGGACATGTTCCAGGAGGTCTTCCGGGACAAGGACCCGGGCTGCTACGTGTGGCAGAACAACTACCACTCCTGGGACCCGCGAGCGGCCGCGGGCGGGGAGGGGGACCCCCAGCGGGAGGAGGTGGAGGCGCTGATCCAGAGCCGGCCGTTCGTGTGCGTCATGCAGAAGTGGGGCGGGAAGAGAGAGGTCATGTACACGGCCTTCAAGGCGCTGGGCAGCTCGGTGGACTACGTCCAGGTGAGAGCAGCACTCCCACTGCAGGAGAGCACAGGGCAGCACAGT